GGCTATATACCAAAGGGTGACACTTGGCTCAATGGTATAAAATGCTATCAAATTAGGACTGGTTTCCTTATATCATGGGATTAAGTCCAGAGGGCCCATGATGTTTTGTGTTCAGTATAAAGAACTCCTTGTTCATGAGGATAAACTAGAAGAACTTTGAAACTCAAGTGTGGGGCATTATCTTGGGGTGATTCTTTTCAGGGTTACAAATGGGACATTCCTCTTAAGGGTTTTAAGTTCTAAAGAGTATTCTTTCAGTATTGTGAAACAACTCCTGTCATTAGAGGGGAAGATGACCAGCAGTAACCACATATGGCAGTGACAAAATGGATGATCTTTTATTTCTCATTCACTACATATGAATTTACCAAAGGTACAGTTTAGAGAGCTTCATAAAGCATAGCATTTGCTGTCACATGTGCTGAAATGTTTTGCTCTGTATGCACGTACAAACATTTGTGTTCACAGATTGGAATGATAAAGTACATATGCCAAGTATTTGTCTAGTTTTAATGTGGTGTGATGACTGCTATTTGGTGTGGATGTTTGTTTTGCAACACAAAATAAAACTAAGGTTCAGAAACACATCATTGGAGAAGAAAAACCTCAGCAGGCACGCCCTATGGGTTCTCTCTCATCTACTGAGGGAGACAATTTAGTATCGGATTAGTGTTTATGGAAGCACTGATTGCCTTTTCTCCAGACAAAGATAAACTGACCACCCTAGAAGAGGTACTGACAAAGACAGCCTTTCTTATCACTGAGTAATGAATACCCTTGGCTCTTGTGATTCTAGAATAAATGAATTCCCGCCTGTCATAGATTATCAGATATTTCTGCATCTGTTCAACAAGAGAAATATTATTAATAGTGCAGTGAAACTAGGACTGACTGAATCTGTGAATCTGTTCTCTTTGTTCCTTTTCTAATTTTCTATGTTTTGCTTTTTGTTCCCCAGATTCTGGAATAAACATGCTCTTTTGATGCATGAGGACATCTGATCTAATATTCTTTAATTAATGTAATCATTCTAAAAGTATCCCAGTATTCTTAGAAGGTCTTTGAATACCTAGGCAGAAGGAGGAAAGGTCTTACTGCAAGTATTTAAAAATATCTATCCATAGCAGCATCTTGCTGAAGTATTCTAATCAGCTGTCAGGCAGCCAGGTCTCCCCGCAGCTTATGGACGGCCCCAAGGCTTGCAGAAAGACGGCATCGGGGGTCAGGTTGACAGATTGTTTTTGCTGTTTTAACGAGCACAAATTAACTAAGTTTGCTGAAAAATCTCTCTGGATTCTGACAGACAAAACATCGTTCACAACGTGACATGTTTTCTTTAGGCCTGCCTGGTTTCTGCATGTTGAAGCTGACAGTCCAGCTTACCTGTTCTAGTTTGTTCCTACATATTACTATTTTTTTTACCACATTGACTCAGCCTCATCATTCCCCTACAAACACAACACAAGAGCTGATAAAGCAAAGATGATCTCTCATATTTATATTTTCATATAGGGTCTTCCAATAACAGATGCTATCCTCCACTGCTTAATTCTTTCAGGGTGATTTTTTTTTAGAACATGAACATAGATTTACACAGTTTGTCCTTTCAGATTAATTTACAGCCTCCATCTAGCCAACTTGGCTACTTGCCCCAGTGCAAAATTTATGTATATTCTAATCATTGGTTATTTTTATTTCCACACAAATTGTGTGAGCAGGCTATCCAGAACACTAGTCGTTACGAAGAATACCTTTCACTGTCGTTCAAGGCCATCCCGGATGAGCTCTGATAGAGTTGGTATCCATCTTCAGCTGACGCACATTCCTAACCAAAAAGCATCTGTAAACCAAGATTAGACTTTTTTTTCATTTCTATTAGGTGGTCATTTGGAATGTAGTGTGTATGGACATGTCCATAGGCATGAGCTGAAAGCAGTCTGCTATTGTAGTAGGTGTGGATGACACAAGGGCTCTGACCCACCTGCATCAGCACACATAGCTGCTTTGTGCTTGGTGACCTGTGTGTGCCTGATACCAGATATGTCATTTCTATCCTACAACGGGCTGTTCCTCATCCTTCCTAGCCTTGTGAATGCTGATGCCAGGACACACCCCATGGTGAGCCATTGAATTGTATAATCACGGGGTGCGCCATGGTAAGTTGTTGCATTCCACCAGTACTAGGTCAGGAGTCTATTTTTTTAAAATAATAATAATTCTTTGATGGATATTGCATAGTCTTGCTCCAGAAATGCAGGGCTTTCTGTTGTGACCCCTACTGGGCACAATATCAATTCTACTTAGCTCCTTTTTTCACCACTGAAACCTCCAACATCTTTGGGTCTGCTGATCTTATGGCCCAGGTGGTGGCAGTTTCTTGCCCTGCTTCTTGGACCTGCTGTAGAATACGCTTCTGCTCTAAGCTTAAGGCTACTAAAACTGGAAGCCTTTTCCATCGCCTGGTATACTGACTAAAGCAGTCCTTCTATAGGAAATGTAGCCCATTAAGGACAGTGATTCTTTTTCTGCGCTAAAAAGTGCGATGCACACTAATTTGGAAAACATTCCAACATGTTTGTGACCATTGGGTCCCCTCCCCTACTGTTTTTTGGATTCTTGTGATTGAATCCTGGGCCTTCACACTAAGCCACATCTCCAAATATTGTTTTTATTTTTTGAGACAAGGTTTCCCTATGTCACTATGTTTGTCAAGATGGGATTGAACTGTTGATCCTTCTGCCCCGGCCTCCCAGAATACTAGGATTACACTGTGTGCCATCATGCCCTACAATTTTTATAAATGTGTCAAACCTCTGGACTTTCTTAGGGTCCATATTCTATCCTATGATATACGTATCTATTACCAAGATGCTTTGTGTGGTATCCAGCACATGCTGATTTTCCCCCCATAACCATAATATCATTGGTAAAATGGCTCAGTGGTCCATATTTATTTGAACTATGGTCTGACTAAGGCAAGAGGGTTATTCTTGGACAACAATTTAAAGGTGTTCTTTTTTTAGCTTTATGGTATACGCCAGTGGCTTCTGGTATTCTTCTGTGATTAAGATAGAAGAGAATGTACTTGGAAAACCAAGGATTATATACCACGTGCCTGAAGATGTTAATCTGCTCTAGCAAAGATACTGAATTTGGCACAGCTTTTGTAATTGGGACAGCAATTTTTTAAACTTTATGGTAATGTACTTCCTCCAGCATCCACTCAGTTTCTGCAGAGGTCAGACAGGTGAATTAAACAGAGCAATGACAAGGCTGACCACTTGTACATACATAGATGTTTAAGAATGGCATTTATTTACACCCATCCTCCTCTGATGACATTATTTTATTTTATTTTATTTTTTTCTCATTGAGTTCATTGGTACATTTTAGGTATACACTACAGTTACATTCATCACTGGGATCTTGTACCTCTACATGACAGGTCTTGGTTCTCATTTTTTCCCCTTTATCCTTGCCCTCCCTTCACCCCCTCTGCCCTTCCCTATTTACAAATACTTTATTTCCATTTTTTCATTTTCTCATGTTTTTTCCCCTTTCCCTTATTACCTTTCCCCTACCCTTCCCACTTTTGCTACACCTTTAGCTCTTTTCTTCCTATTTCACATTGTCAATTATATCATTAGGATTTCATGTACCATTATAGTTTTTCACACCAGAGAAACTATTCGGTATTTATATGTGTGACTTATTTATTTCACTTAGGAGTATATCCTCAATATGTATCCATTTTCCTACGAATGACTCTAATTTCTCATTCTTTATGGATGAGTAGTATTCCATTTTATAGAAAAAAACACACCTTTATCCAGTCTCCAACTGATGGGCAAATGGGCTATTTCCAAGTTTTAGCTATTACAAACTGTGCCGCTATAGACATAGGTGCACATATATCACTGTGGTATGATTCTTTTAATTCTTTTGGAAAGATAGCCAGCACAGAGGGATGGCTGGGTCAAATGGAACCTCTCAACCTAGATCTTTGAGGTATCTCCATATTGATTTCCATAGTGTTTGCACCAGTCTGCACTCCCACCAACGATGGAGAAGGGTTCCTTTTGACATACAATTTTAATTATTGTTTCATCTGGGTATAACTGATCAGTTTCAGAGACTTCTACTTGGCCTTCCCCATTCTAGCAACTCTTATTCCTAAGGTTAAGGGCACAGTGTAGAGGTTATGTCAGCTGCCAAGTCTGTCAATCTAAACTGTACATTCATGGATAAAAGAAGTGACCACAGGATAGATAGGTCCATGTATCCAATGAACTTAGTGCAAGAAAGGCTTGGCCAGGACTTCATTTATATCACCTTTAATTCAGACTCTGTGTTCAGTAATCTTCAATAAATTGTCATATTCACCTTTCTTCATTGCACACTTCCCTCAGTAAAGGGTCATAGGTCCATTTAGGAGTAGGACTAGTAGAATAATTGCCATGTTATATACCGTGATAATTTGGTCCTTCTTCCGGATCATTGGGATGTTGGTCTTAAATTGTCTCTAGGTCTAGAAACTGCCCAAGGTTTTTGAGTTACTAGGGTGATTACAATTAGCATGTCGGTTCTCTGAACATAGTTTTTTTCACTTGGACAGGCTGACTAGTATTCTAGTCAACCACCCATTAATTTTGTTCTTAATGACAAATCTCCTTTGTTTTCTATACATTGGGCCCATTGAACACCACCTTTACCTTGTCAGGAATTAGAGTTATTGTGACTTCCTGGGTTCTGTTTAAGCAATAGCACATAGCCTCAATAGTTTTGGTGCCTTGTTATCACTGTGAGTCAGATCTGTAAAAACCCTTCATACCATTGTTTTCTACTACAGAAGAGTACTATCACTGTTCTGGGAAAGATAGGACATTTAATATGGTACCTGTAATCAGAATTTCTATTAGGCTGAGTGTGTGGTTGTTTACTTTTAAATGAAGCTGTTGCCCTGCTCACCAATGCATTCTTTTGTCCTTGGCAAGTGGTATATCCTATGAGCCTCCCTGTGAAGCTTAATCACCCAGTGAGTCTTCTGACCCCGTCTAAGTTAAAGTCTGTGCATTGCTCCAAGCAAAGTATGTACCCGGGCAAGGTAGGTTCTCTATGGCAGACATTGAGGATATTGACGGCTGGAATTTGTCCATTGACCACATGCCCTGTAGCTGGGAACAAATTCTGGGGGAGACATCTAGGGAATATATCTCCATGTCTTCCAGTAGTCACTAAGAGGCTTTGTATGTTTTGTGAAAGCTATTTGCAGAGCTGAGATTTCTTTTAAAGAACAGACTTTAGCTAGCACGGAGACACTATGATTACCTTTATATTTTTATATTGTCTACATATATCTGTATATATCTGTAGATATATATAGACACATCTTCCCCTTTAATTCCCAATCTCTAGGCTTAGATTAACTTTTTGAGCAATAGTATATATTTCACTTTATTTTCTGAATTAAGGCAATCCTTTAGTCCATATAAAAAGCTGCATTACAAGAGCCTCTCTTGATGAATAGCCCAGCCTTTTATCATCATTTTCCTGCTACCCACAACAAGTGCACTAAATTAGAACCCCAGTAAAAATGGAGTCTGTTTAGTGTGCCATCCAAACACAAGCAAGGGGTAATTTTGTTCAATTGTGGAGAAGGGAAACTAAAACACTCAAATCAAAACTAAATTGATTGATGGCACAGCGTCTGCCTAGCAAGTGCAAGGTCCTGAGTTCGATCTCTGGTACCAAACAAACACCCCTAAATTAATTGAATTATTTTTTATTCATTGGATCTAAGATTCATTCTTTTTCAGAGTAATTTTTAATATGCTATGCTTAAATTTAAAGTTAGTGATTTCTCATTATCCTTAAAACAAAATGTAAAGATTTCAACACAATCTATGAAGATCAACTGGTGCCTGCCTGTAGAGGTCTCCTTCTAGAGGAGGGGACTTGGGGAGACGACCACAGACACAATGAATAACCAAAAGCTGATGGATAATGGCAAAGTTTATTTCTCACCCAGGGTCTTTATAGTACAGTTTCAAGGCCACACACAAAAGCAAGATCACAGCGGTTTGATGATTAACAGCAGTTATGAGCAGTGATTAACAGCAGTCATGAGCAGATAGATACACATTGTTCAAACCAAAGACATAACATCTAGATAAAACAACATGCTTATGACTAAAGGGGAGTGTAAACCGGAAATAGGAATAAAGAAGAAATTGGGGGCTGTTTGTAGGTCAAGGGACTTGGCTCCAGCACGTGGCCTTCGGGACACTTGTGCCCTGGTGAGAACAGCATTCCGGGACTCGGAGTCAGCACTTCGGCCATCCGTCTTCTCGTGCCCCAACACCTGCCCATCTACCCTACCCACACCAGCATATCTGAGAGAGGCACAAGGGGCACAGAAGTGGATTTTACAAAGAACCGGAGAGAGAACTACCCGGATGTTATGGCTTCAATCTGCAGTGTACCCTAAAGGTCTCACTGGTGCAGAGGCAAAGTTTTTGGAAGATGACTGGATCTAATAAGGGCTCTGATTTCATCAGTGGATTATTCTGTTGATAAGATCATCCTGTGATGATATTTTTGGGAGATCATGGAAACTTAAGTCTTCAGAGCATGAACCTGAAGACTATATTCTGTCCCTGGCTCTTCCTCTCTGACTTTCTCACTTTTTCTTCTCTTTGGCTGTCATTAGATGAGCAACTTCTTCCACACCTCTGTCCCACCATGATGCTGTCCCACCACAATGGAGACACATGACTATAGATTAAACCTCTAAAACTATGAGCCAAAATATATACTTCTTTTATTTTCCTCCAGTATTTGGTCACAGTGACCAAAAGCTAACTAACACCACAGATGTAGTTATACAAGAAATACCACCTGCTATAGTTTGGATATTTAATGTCCCCCAAAGACCCATGTATTAAAACTTGATCCCTAGGGTGGTGCTATTGAGAAGTGGTAGAACCTTTAGGAGGTGGGCCTTAGTGAGCAGTCCTGAGATCATTGAAAGGATGTTCTTGAAGGAGACTGTGGGACTCTGACCCTTCTTCTTCTTGTGCCTCCTGGCCCAGAGTAGAATAAGCAGCCTGCTTCCTCAGGTGCCTCCTCATCAGAGGTCCAATGCAATGGTCTGTCCAGTTTAGAGCTGCAGTCTCTAAACCCTGCAGCCCCAAATACATAATTTTAAAGTTAATTATCTCAGGTGTTATTTTCAAAGTGACAGCTGATTAATGTATTACTTATCATTTCTATTTTTTGTTTTTTGAAATAGCCTACTATAAAAGTAAATGCATGATTTCAGCTCTTTTTTTTCTTCTTTCAATTTTTTGAGAGAGCATCCTTACATACATGGATTCAGCTGTGTGCAGGCCCTGAGTGCCTGCCATCAAAGCCTAGTGATAGCAGTGTTCTGGGGCTCCACCTTCAGCAGAGAGGACTGTTCCAGAAGTCCGTTCCTCTAGTTTGGGGATAGGGCAGACAATGAGGTGCTACTTTTCCCATACAATGAGTTTGGTGGATAGGACTATAATTCAGCTTGGCCCTTTGTATGCAGTTCAATTCTACTGGTAGGCTGCCCTAACCCCAATGCCATTTGATTGGTGGCCAAGGGACTGGTCTATCACAAAATGCAATCTGGTCAATCCTCCAGGTCTGAGCAACCCCTGTTCCCCTCCTTTGGTCTATCCCAGGGATGTTTCATGCTTAAAACTGGGCAGATTTCTCTGGAAACATGACAACACTTTGGCTTGCTACCATATTTCTTCCTTTTTTGGGTTCCTTAAATAAAGAGCATTTTCCGCCCTCTTGGACAGCTACTCCTTGACCCTTTAAGTGGATGTACTCTGAAGAAAAATTGGCCCTACTTTGTTTCTCTCAATATTCAGATTAATTTTCCGTTTCCAGGGTTAGATTATGACTCACATTTAAGATCTTAGGCTTAAAAAAAAAGAAATCATGGCTGCTCTTTCCACTGTCCTGAAGGAATGAGAAGTGGACTGAAGGTGGGAAGAATTAGGAAAACATTTTACATTCATTGCCCTGAAGAGGTCCCTGATGATAAATTGCCAAAGAGGCAGAAAGAAATGACATGAAACATGCCTACCCAAATGTTTTCCTGTCCTTCACAGTCAGCACTCTGGGCCAGATCCCAGCCTAGCAAGGCTGACTTGGATCCTCACACTCAAACCCAGAACTATTGATTCACTTAGGGCTGTGTGCCAGGTTTTTCTTCCAGCCCATACAAAACTAATGAAATCAATGAATGCTGCTGCTGGTTCTCATCAAATGCTATTAAAATATAACTCTTTCATGAATAATTCTGAACATTGACTCAAAGCAATTGATTACAAGAACCACATATCTCAAATGGGAGGAATAATTGATGTTTTCAACATGTAAATGGCTTGTAAAGAATTCTCAGATACCAGTTATAGGAGTACAGCTATAATTAGTTCATTTGGGTCTAGAGTTTTGGATTGGTGTTTATTTTTTTCAGTTTTGGCTCCCAGAGAATAATATGTAAAAGCTGCAGATTTGTTTTGTCATCCCAAGTTCACTGTGTCCAGCTTTGCCTGTGGACTTACTAAGTGCTCTATCTACACTAATAGAACTATGAACTACTAACTAAAATATGTAGAACAAGGGCAGTATATGTCCTTTAGTCTAAAAGACTGGCAACTCAGGACACAAAGCCATCATGTAACTGCTTGCCTGACCAATCATAATCAACTCATGTATGCAAATATGTAGAGGTAACTGGATAGTGGGTGAGAATATAATATCCCTGTATCAGAAATTAGACCAATGGACTCCCAGCTGCCCCTCTGATTAAAAAACACAACAAAACAAACACACACTGTCTCATAATTTGTCCTAATTGGGCTGTTAGTACCTACCTTGCCCCTCTCTTACTTTGTAAGTATCTTCCTATTTCAACAGTGACACACTTAATTGGATTTTTAAAGTTCACTATCTTAATCCCTCTTTCACCATATCCAATGTAAGATGTTACACTGCCTCTCAAGCTAGCCTAAGGATTTGACAGTGTCTACCACCTATCAGGGAGGATCTGAAAGTTTGAGATGATTATGCTACGTTAAGTGAAAAAATTCATAGTATATGACTTCATTCAATATAGAGAGAATTTGCAAAAATTGTTATAGACATTTCAGCAGTTTGCTGCACTAATAAATGTCTGGAAGCTGATGGCCACCACTTTGAGCACCTCTCACAATTGTAGAGGCCAAAAGTAACTTGTATTAATCTCACGATGTCTCAATAAATTTAGTATTAAAATATTTATACAAGTTTTTATTTTTCTCATGTATATATTTTTTGATAACTGTACCAAATTTTATTGGGTCAGAAACTATATCAAAATAAAGTGAATGTACAATCCATCCTCATATCCTCTGTCATCATTATAGTCAGTATCAAATAGTATATAATCTAACAAGTAACATAAAAATTAAACCTACAGCAGAAGAGGGTACTAAAGATACTATAATGGATTTAAGAACACAATAATGGGCACTTGTCCTACTTTGGAAATTGAGGAAAGAATTCATAAAAGAGATTATGTGTGAGTTGATCCCAGTGGTAATGGGGAGTCTAAACAGAAGACATTGAGTAAAAGAGACTTGAGTGGATCCGCGGCTCATTAGGGAGTGTTGTCAGCTGTTCAACATGCCTTCATGATTAGAACCCACAAGACAAGAGCGAGAAAATCAAAGACCAAGCATAGAGTTGAGTGCCACACAAGAATGTCGATTTTATTAGTGATCCTCAAATTGATGTTTGCAAGGAAGTCACCTGTGAAATTTAAAAAACTCATCTCAGCTTCAACTCTACCCCAAACCAACTGAACTGGAACTTCCAGGTGTAAAACATGTATGTCTAGGTATATCTCTAAGATGTTCCCCTGACTAGAAACTCCTCAGCCTTGTTCCCTGTGCTTTCTGAACTTAGAATGGAATGGAATTGCCCAGCGTCCACTCCAGGTAGGCAGACTCTGTAAATGAGCTCTGGTCAGAGGAGTGCAAGAAGTGATATAAACCACTTCCAGATGTGCTCCTGACACTTCATACAGGATCTTCCTCACTGTCTCTCCCTTCTCACTGGCCAACTGGTTACAAAGAAGACTAGGTCTCAGGGAGTCAAGAAACCTCACGGAATATGTCCAAATCTCCAAGTCACTGAATAGGAGGTTACTCAGTGAACACACAATTCAACTGCAAGATGTGTAGGAAATGGATTTTGTGTTAAGTAACTGAGATTTTTGAGGTTGTACACAATAGTATTAAAAACCACTGCTAGACAATATTGGGCAATAAAAGAATGAAATGCTATTATCATATTTATACCATAGAAAGATTGTTCTGGTAGAAGTGTGGAGAATGGAGTATGCTGAACAAAGTAAGAGCCAGAAAGACTAATTAAGGTCTCTCTCACTTATTCCAGAAAAGGACAAAAGTCTCTGCAATGGCCATAGTGATCATGGTAGAGAGTGTAAGTACATAAACATGGGAGACCTCAAATAAGTAAGATCTGTTCATTTTAGGGCCATTTGGATATGTGATAACAGTTTTATGGTATATTTAAAAGCTGTAAGTATTGATCTTCAGATTCAAGACATCCTAACTTGCTCAAAGTTAATTTTATTGTAATCTTATGGTTATCAAATATGAATTATAATTGTCAGAATTGTCTTTTCTGATTTGGCCTTTGCTTTTACTCTCATCTTACATATTTGTTTCAGTCAAGAAATGCTGATCATTTCTATTATGGCTAGGTTGAGGTCACCAGGATGACACAGATAAAAATATGCGCTCAAAGCAAGTAAGCCCTTAAACTGAACAGAAAATCATGATATTGTTTTATAGTGTTATTCTATAAAGCACTGTCACTTGCCTGAAGTGTTGCTTGGATTCTATGGGATACTAACGTGGGCTCTTTCTAAAAAGACAAGACTAGAGTGATATCCTGATTTAGAAATGGCTTCCTTCACTGTGTCCAAATACTGTGAGAAGATCCTGAAGGGCAAGGGCTCAGGTGGATGTAAGAACTCTCTTTAAATGTTGAAGACACAAGCACTTCTACTTTAGGATTTATGAAACGTGGTGGATTACTGACTTGATGAGAAAGTCCTGATAACAGAAACTAGTAAAGCAATCATAAAAAGGAAGAAATAATTTAGAACTCTAGAGACTTAGGAAACATTGAAGAATAAATTTGGCCTGGAAGCTCCAAGGGATTATGGCCATTGATTTTAGACAATATACCCACTTGCTCTAAACTAAGGGATCTGAACTTCTATTAAAAGCAAAAAGGGACTGCACTGCAGCTTGCAGAGTTTGACACAACAGTCAAGAGACAGAAAATTGGCCTATCCGTGTTCAATGGCAGCATCAACTTGAACTTCTGGTGAAGGCAGGAGCTACTGGTGGGCCTGGGGCCTATGAGTGTGATACTTACTTCACACTTGTGTGATTTGCTGCAGCTGACAGAGAGCTTCAATATCTTTCATCTTCTCATATCTTCAAAACTTTGTGAGATATCCTCATTCTGAGGTGAGACTAAAGCTCAATATTCAAGGCACTTATCTTCACAGCCAGTGCTGTGCTCTCCAAATACAGTTTGCTCACCTTCACAGATTTTTCACAGGGTAAAATTTAGATGGTCACTCCAAAATATCATCTCTAGATCATATATTCAAATTTTGCTAACTAGAACTGGCCCCTAGGCAATCATTTCTATTTTTCTGTTTGAATGCTCATACTTATCTGTTCCTCTTCTGTCACTGACCTGGGGGTGGAGGGCTGTTAAAAAAATGCAGAGTTCCATCTGTTTCCCTCTCCCAAGAAAAATGAAATCATGAAACAAGACAATTGCATGGAAAGAAGTAGATCAGGACCAATCTGTGTTGTGGATTTGCAAATGTAGTTTAAATCAAAACACCTGACAATGAACTGACTGCTTCTGTCATTTAATTCAAACTCATCTGTTTCAATCGTATGATTTAACATGTAAATTGCATCCAGGCAGCTGCAGACATTTATTTAAAAATATGTAATTTAGGTTCTTCAGAGATGAAAATTGATAAAACGTCAAGCATTTTATGTTTTAACAACTATTCCCCAGGTCATGCACTGAAGATTTTGTCTGAAACAGACAGGCTGGCTTTTATGGATGTTTACAAATATAATGGAAAATTAGAAGATATGGGGGATCAGACAAACTAGTTTTAAATCTTGACTTAACATTTTTTTAGCTTTTTGATTTTGAGCCAGTTCAGTAAACCTCTCTGAGTCTTAGGTTCATAACCTGTACAGTGAAGTTAATCATATTTACCTTTAATAGTGAATATGATGATTAAGTAGGGTCATTTATTTGTACATAGAAAATATTCAGAATGGTATTGTTAATGTGGGAATTGAGTGCAAATCTGGACAGAGTAGTAAATTTATTAAGGCAATGAGCACCTATGCATTGCTTTGTTACTCTAATCCCCTATTATATATTATAGCAGTCCTTCTCAGTTATACAAAGCCCAGTAGTACAATTATTTTTTGTTAAAACAAAACCCAAGATCTTTTGAAAAATTAGGCTGCAAGATAGAAGTAGGAAATAAATCTGTGAGATATATTAGGCATATTTTATGTTCATTAAAAGTTATACCACATACTGAACTAAAATATCATTGATAGTATTTTATACATACTAAATTAGTAATATTATTTTTCAACCTTGTTTCTAAGTAAAATTTTTTGGAACCTTTATCTCATGAAGTACCTATTTTTGTTTGCAAGACGTCAACTTTCATATGCTGAAAATATGCTTTCAGGCTGACTGTCCCCTCGTTTTTCATCAAGAATGTTTCAATCTTCTTGACTGTTTAGTGTTGATTTTTGTCTGTCTCCTTTCATATTGCCCACTTGCCTTCCTATAACTTTGGAATTTGTTTTACAGATGCCATTTCTCCTCTCCCAAGTGTCATCCTACTTCCTCGGGCAACATGGTGACTTCGACACCAAAATAAGGGTTAAGAAACCAACCAACAGATTGTTTGCAATCCCACCAACTGAACCTACATATTTGAGTTTCCTACCTACCCAAATGAGTATTGGACTCATGAGAACTGTGTTGAAATTCCTTTTATAGAGATCTTGTTCCCATACATATAATTTTAAAGTGAGTTCACAGTAAAATTGCTCCATTTACTTCTAGAGTTTCATTGCTGCAACGTCCACGTCCACTTGTCTTCCACCATCTGCCCCATCACTTTCCAATATAAATGTGTGCCTGTTTTCCTAATTACCAGCAACAGAGTGACTTGTGAATTAGGAACACGATACCTAAACTAGTCCTGTTGTTCAAATGACAATAAAGTTTCAGCCTGGTGTAAATGGCGGCACGGCAAATATTTACAAACTTGATTCTTCTACCTATTGTAATTCTCAATAATGAAACTGTTTTCCACACAAACATGTTTAAAAGTCTAAATGAGGATATAGGGATAAGTGGGAAAAGTGCCTGTTTATCTGCTGTATAATTCCCTTTTTTTTTTTTTTCTCTCTCTAAAAGGTAGGTCCGCTTGGATTCAGAGATACAACGAGGAAATCAGGCTAGACTGAACAGTGAGCCAAGTCATGGTACTGGATTATGTTGGGCAAAGGGCAAAGGGCAGCCCAATTAAATAACACAGTTTGTTATGGATCCCAGTGGTAATATGTGGCTCACTGATGCCCACTCACCTTCGAGCGTCTGTCCTTGTTAAACTTGCCACTGCACTTTCAGCAAGTAGCGCTTTTGGACACAACTGTGAAGTGTGAGACTTAAGAATAAAAGTGATTTTTGTGCCTGATTGACTCTTAGGGCAAATGGAAAATAAATAATTCTTAAGAACTCTAATAGGATTTACCGGTGGTTTTAGATGTGCTAAAAGATAAAGTAATACGACAAGTAGCCACCATGAGAGTTAAAGTGGGCTAACTATGGTTATGTAATACAAATGGGCTTGTGGAGTTGAAAGATTTATTTCTAATTGAACAACATTGGGCTTATATTCATAATGTTTATTTAATTTTACATTTAAACTACTAATGAAATACTCTAAATCTAAGATGCTAAAATTGTGTCAAATTAGTACAAATTCTGCTCGGCATGGAAGAAAATACTATAATTACTGAACAGTAGAAATATGACTGTTTGTAGTCCTTAGGCATTACTACAATTAAGACATGACGTTTGTTAAGCTTTAAGAATTATTTGTTAGTAATTCTTTTAAAAGATTTAAAAAATCCTTTTAAGGTTCAAGTTTGCCACAAATCTTTTTTATATCGCTCATAGTTCAATAGATTTGGTATTGAAAAAGCTCTTTGAGGTCACTATGTCCTGGTTCATGACTCAGGATCCAAGACTAAATATGAGTGAATTCAATTTTGACTTTGATTTTATTTCATGAAATAACTACGTGGTTTAAATGCAGTGTCTACAAATACATAGCAAAAAAGAAAGGAGAACCATGTATACTTTTTTAAAAGGTCATTCTCACTTTATACCATTGAACAGTAGAAAGTCTGGGTTCAAATCTTTTTAAATATTAAAGTGCCATCCTGGAAATTATCGTTTTGTTCTAAATTTATGAAAACTTCAAATAAGATTTTCATATCAACTGATAATTTTTCTTGGCCCTTTCTAGACACACATAAGCACGGGGCTCTGTTTATTTCTTTTTTATCTTCTGCTACATAGATCCTCTTAGTAAGGACTTTTCCGTTAATACTCATGTGAACATTCTCAAAAATTTCCATAAGGAGTGCATACTGATAACAAATATTTTCTAAATCAACCTTCTTTTTCATGCTACAAGAAAATGACTTTGAGAATAAGTATGATTATGGTCCCAAGCTGCATTGTTTAATTGCTCCAGAACTAAGAATTGAATATTCTAGGCTGTGCAAATTTGGTAGTGACCAACATTGCCACATAGTCAGGGATAACACTTCTTTGGATAAGATGGTCCGTGGTTACTATATTGAGCTTGATCTCTGAATTTTCAGTGCCAGAGATATTTATGATTCTAAATACACCATGCATAGCTATTAAAGTAAAAGAGCAGCAGGGGCATGGTTCCAACTGCTTAGTAAACAATTGTAGAAAGATGTTTATTAAAGTTGGCTCTCAAGTGACAGATAAATGCATAGTTCCATTATGCATGCTAAATTCAGCATGCTGAAGTCTTAAAAGCAGATAGATCAAAACAAGAGATATTTTACAAAATAATAAAGATAAAATGCAGCTATTTCAGTATGTATAGGAAAATAATTTTGCCTTAAACATGATCTTCCCTTGGCCCCTCTGTGAATGTGCTTCCATATTTATGAAATAAACTTAAAAGTAAGTCAGTAGCTTGTATTTCTTAACTTGTCTTTCACCAAGTTTTAAAAATCCTACTGATGTGGGCTTTGTGAAGCCAAGATACCAGTGAACTCCCTAAACAAAGAAGTGCCTCACATAATTATTGATTTATAATTCTTATTTATTGGGAGATGCTTAGTTCTTAAAAAAACCAAAACCAAAACCAAAAAAGCACACACAAAACAGATTATTTCGTATACAGTTTTTTTTTTTTCCATTATGTGAGGTTGCATTGCATGATTTTCAGTGTTCCCTTACTCAGGGATAATACATTTTTTGGAGGGTAAGGAAGATCAAACTCAGGACCTTGCTCTTGGAAGGCCAGCGGCAGAACCACTGAGCTAAATCCCAGGCCCAAAGCATTTGTGTGTGTGTGTGTGTGTGTGTGTGTGTGTGTGTGTGTGTGCATGTGTGTACAAGGGATTGAGCTCTGGTCCTTGTGCTTGTGAGGCAGGCGGCAGAACCACTGAGCTAAGTCCCCAGCCCCTTATGTTTCTTAATTTTCATTATCCAGGAACATGTTTATAGAAAAATCTACAAATATTATAGATGGTTGTCCATGGAATCTTCACACGATTACAACGTCAGTTCCTTGGTTGTCTGATACTTTATATAAATGCCAATAAATTTGAGAGTTCCCACAACTGTGCCTTTTTAACCTTTGTTCCCAAAGCTAAAGGGTATGATTTTAAATCAAGTAGCAATTTATCTTTAATTAGGAAAACATAATTAGGTATTATTACCTAATTGCTGTTACTGGTTGGAGAAAGTCACATTTCATGGGCAGTGACCCATGTCGGACTGTCATTCCCTGTGACTGAATTCTGAATTTGTATTTGTATTCGGCAGAGAGCCAATGAAATTTAAAAGGTAAACACTCTGCTTCTCTGCAGTTCAGGTGTGAGTCACCAACTCTGTGGCTAAACAAGAAACCAAGAGAGGGCCAGGGATTTAGCTCAGTGATTCCACCACCTGCCTCACAAGTAAGGACCCATGTTTGATTCCTGGTACCAAAAAAAAAAAAAGAAAGAAAGAAAGAAACCAAGAGATACTTCCTGAAGCATAACTTAGCTCTGTTTCCTGCTCAGAAATCAAGTACAAATCAATGATATAAAAAAAATCCCATGTGAAATAGGTCAGAGAACTGTTCCACACTTCATTTCTGGTACAGTTAAAAAGTTTAAAGTCTCAAGGCACCACTATGATTGAACATCAGATACATGGGTAATCAGCTAATCTACTATGCTGTAAAGTCAGTAAATAGCTTGTGCAATAGTTGAAAGCAATCTCTAGACAACTGTTAAGTGTACAATAGGCACATGTATTATAATACAAATAGAAACAATGAATCCTAGAAAAAGCATGTTGAGCACCGTTGTGGCATTGTTTGTATTTCTTTACTTAATACTACGTAAACTTTACATTTACAAAAGGAAAGACTAACTTTTGAAAGTTACACTCAAGGTTGGTTTTTGTGCTATCTCCACATTAAGCAAATGAAATTAGTTCGTAGGTGTACTTTTAGAAGTCGTTGGGTCTTGATCAGCTTCTGTTGCACTGGTAGATTCATTCAAGTGAGAGCTCAAGTTTTCTGAGGTCAGGTGAGAAGACTTGTAGACAATCTCATTGAAGTCAGACCTGATGCAAACCAAAGGAGGGTCACTCAGTGGATCTTCTACTGAGACTTGGGTGTTTTCTCTAGTGATTCCCATGTCTTTGCTATGTTCTGATGGAGATTTTCTTTTCATGCGAGTGTAAGTTTTGTCTTGATTCTCCATGCCTTGCTCATTTTTCAGAAACCTTCCAAAGAACCAAATGAAGAATCCGAACCATACAAAAGCTATCAAACTCGGAACAAAGGCCAGACACTTGACATCAAGGCTTGCCCCTATAAACCTGCTGTGTAAGAACATGTCCCCCTCAACATACGTTTTATTAGTCTGAGGGTTAGTGTGATTGGACCTCCATTCCCAAGATAGCTTGGTTCTGTTCAAATCCTTCAAGCTCTCCAAGTCTTTCACTGTATATATTTTCTGCCCTGGCCCAATGTACTGTCCATATTCATGAGGTTTATAAAATATTTGGTTCTTCCACATATTAAGGTCCAAAATCAAGACAAGAAAGATAATTCCATAGTTAAACCATTTACCTGCATTTAAAAAGAAATGCTGCATTAATCAAAGGCCCATAAAATTGCAGAGGGATTTTTCTCAATAAAATGAAATGATAATATCACAACATAAATCATTAGTGTTTTAGATCTGTTAACAATTAATTTTGACAGTGCTATGCTGCCATAAAGAGAATTGGCAAATTAAATTTACTAAATGCATTTGAGGCTTATGAAAATGTAACTGTAGACCCCTGAGTCAATAACTTATGATAGCAATAAAATTAAGTTTCCTTTTTTTAAAGGCACCACAACTATACTCAAACATGACTCTGTACGGTATATTCTCTGCAAGATTTCATGTAATGTTGAAAACAAAATTATAATGAAATTCTTTGAAAAGTCCAATATATGATTGAACATCTCTTAGCGTTTTATAATTATGTTTAGGGAAGAAATAAATCATTTTAAATACAAGCACAGTAGTATATCAATTGAATTCACATTGCTATTTGTAGGTGATCTGTTGATTAAGCCATTAGTTGATGTGATTCAAATCAATAATCCTTGAGCATTTAAGACCATAGAAATAATTGCATCAGATCTTCATTGAACAGAATGCATTTGTCAGACACATAAATATAACCAAAGCTAATGAACTGCTTTAAAAACATGATTTGGAGGAATTGTAGCTACTATTATTTCTTTGTAGTATTTAAAATCTTACATGAATAAGATGTTATTTAGTGATATGTTATCAAATGAAATCTTCATATTTGCAAAAGGAAAGAATATTGAAAATTTTCCAATGGATACTAGATAAATATGATATTTATTATAAATATTACAAATATTACAGTGTGAAGTATATAATAATATAGTAATATCTACTTCACAGGCTTGTGGTAGCAAAGTAGGTAATATATGTAACAGGCTCTAAAAGTTTTAGTTATGATTTTATGTATTAAGCCCAAACTATTTTCTTTTATATATGAAGATAGAACTATTGAACATTATTAATTTACTACTTTCATATGATTACATATTTTGCAAATATATTAGACCAGAATGTATAGCTACTTTAAAATGTAGAAAATATAACCATGGGGAGTTTAGGAAAGTATTTATCATTATCATCATATTTTTTCAAGCTTCTACTATATGCAAGGCTGGAGGACATTATTGTGGCTCCAAAATTTACCTGCTGCGTGGTTTTGGCCAGTTGCTTAAATTCTCTAAAGCACAGTTTCTTTACATGCAGAAAATAAAAGAGTATTTATTAAAGTTGTTTGCATTTTGTGAGATTGTTAGATGATAAACACAATGGCTGTTAAATAGTAGGGACTCAGTAAACTATTACTATTAATTATTAAAGCCTTTCCTAAACCATGGCAATGTATCCATTTTCATGAGAAGATACAACTTGTTCTCTATGAAGAGTATTTTTACATAAATGACATATCGATGTTAACATTTTTTGTTTGATTACATCTCTCTGGCTTGACTTTTCTTACTTTGTTTTCTTATTAGTATGAACAGGTTCTGGATTGCAAGATATAAGGAGTGATTTGAATTTAGTGTCAAATGTTACAAATATTTTAGCATGTCTGGAATCAAGGTTACCAATTGCTTGCTAGCTTGGATATGTAAAACAAAAATCAAATACAAAGGCAAACGTTCTTACTAAATATTCATTGTGTTCCAATAATGTAGGTTATCTTTGTAGATGGTGATGATATACATTTCTACCTTTCAAAGGGAATTAATCATCTCTTTGGGGATACAGAAGAGGGACATCAACAGATAATAAGAAGCTACATTTGAGAGATACTAGATGAGTGATACAAACTATAAATGTTGTAGATGTTAAAAGCATGGAAATAACAATTCATGTGCTCACTGAGGGAAAGGCAGGACAGACACTTGGACAGTTTTGTACTACTTGAAGTTTATGCTTTTAGTCTGGTGCAGATAGAAGAGCATACTGAAATGGGGAGAGGAGGAGGGGGTGAAGAGAGGGCAGGGACAAGGGAAAAAAATGAGAACCAAGACCTGGCATGTAAAGCTACAAGATCCCAGGAATGAATGTAACTGTATTGTATACCTAAAATGTACCGATAAACTCAATAAAGAAAAGAACAACATACTGAGAAACATGAAATGATATAGAAGAGAGGAACAAAGGGGAGGGAAGAGGGAAATTCTGGAGAATATTGCTGAAAAAGAAAGGCTGAGAGGGATACAGACAGTTGCAGAGGAAAAGTTCATAGGCTCTCATCTATAATCTGTGGTTTCCATGGCAGAATAAGTTATAGAGGGGCGCTGGGCTTGTCTCTTCTGTAGGAGAGTTACACTTACTCCCTGTTTCAGATATTGCAAAGCCAGGATGGTAGAGGCAAAGGTCCTTGAGCCTGTATGCCTGACCACCACCTTCTTGACTCTCAAGAGGCTGGGGTAATTGTGCACCTCTCTTTAGGTCTTTTAAAAATAAAATCTCTTATAAAGGGTTCTATGTTTCTAGGATGAAAAGGATATTAAAAGGAAGCTAGCAGCATCTCAGAATCAGGGAATATAAATAAAAATATTTAAGAATTTAGCAAGAGTGGTTTCCTGGTAGGGAGGAGATGCTCAACAAGTGTTAATTGGCAAAAAGAAAACTGCAGAGTTTATAAGTGAGTAGATGCTGAGAAAGAACACGGAGGACAAGATGAACTTTTTTTTCCTGTTTTCAAATCGTTTTTCTACCAATGTTGAGTCAGTCTGACCACTTACCTTTCACAACAAAGAGGCATTTCATTTCTCAAATGACCTGAAATTTGAATATTTAGGTGGGTGAGGAAGGACCGAATTAAAAATCTGTCCCCTAACTTCACTGAAAGGATCCAATTGCTCCAACACATCTTTACCAATTTACGAAAGGCAGAACATCAATGACAAAAGGTTCAGGCTGGAAATCAGCAGACGGAGGTCTCATAGTAATACTAACTTAAGTAATGCTAACCTTGATAACTTGTTTAGCCTCTCGTGACCACAGTTATATTATTTTCAAGTGAGGTAGCTAACTAAAGGTCTTTTAGTTCTATGAGTCTGCCTTTCTTTCCCAAATCCTACTTACCAGCTATCGGGAAGAGCACAAATTTTTCTTCTGTGAAATGGAGAATAATATCGGTGTAACTACCTCAGAAAAATTTTGTGTGGATAAAATGAGAGGCTATATTTAAAAGTTCTCTGAAATATATTGTTTGCCAAAACCGTACTGGTATTATTTCTCCAATTTCTTCATCATTACAAGTTATACTGGGTCTTAGCAAAAGAATGGAGGGAAAAAAGGCTATAACAAAGATCTATCCTAAAGATTATTGAATATTTCAGTTTCGATCAACTACCATGAATTACTGAGCATTGACATCCATAGGTAGATGCCACAGGAGCACTTATCCAAGAGGACCCAGTGTGTAGCTATGTGTAAATATGCCTTGTAAATCAGCTTTTTTATTATAATGAAAAACACTTAGCAATTAATAGTTTGTTTACAGTTTGTACTGGAATTGGCCCTGCGCAGAGAAAAGACCTTTTATATACAAAAGTTTTGAGGCTAAACACAGGGGATAATGCACTCCCTCCCCCCATTTGAGTGGGGGCTGAGCCACATGGGGCTGAGCGACACCCAGGAGTGGAGGACCCTGCTTCGCTGACATAACAAGCTCTTGGACCCTCCTGCGGACTGAGCAAGGCCCACCCCCACTGTCATGGCCACTCAACCTAAACTTGAAGCCGATACAAGGTAGGAGAAATGGCTCTTCTTTTAATTTTTGTTTGTTTGCCCCACCTGACATGACCTCGGGTCCATTTATCTATTTGTACAGAGGAAGGACGTGCATCTTTTTCTCCATCATCCATTGTTTTCATTTTCCCCACACAGTGTTTCGTTACCTTGGTAATGCATTCTCCTCTGTAAAAAATATATTCTTTTACCCTCTGAGCTATGGTAAACTAGGAGACAAAGTCAGGTAGGGAAACTCAATATCCGTGTTCTTGTCTGCAAAACAAGGGAGTTTAGCTACGTAATCCTTAAGGTTTCTTCACACCCTAAAAGTTCTTTTATGAGTCTGTGAAATAAAAATCACCTAAACCGTATGTTTTATGATGGACTGGAAAATCTCACCATTAGCGAAAAATAGATGGAATACAGTTTTTAGGTACAGAAATTTTCCTTAAAAATGTGCATTCGGAGAAACTCTATTTGCCTTAAAGAAGATTGAGTCCCTTAAATGAACCACATGAAAAGCAAGTAACACACAAAAAAGGAAAGAGTAGAAAGTATTTATATATTCTACAGCCATTTTCCCAAGTGTGTTGTTGTGAATATAAGATCAAGAGGTTTGGTATTTCAGCATTAATCATAAGAGAGATTTTGCATTTCCTCCTGTTGCTTCGACTACATACCATAATGTAAATCAGCAAGGAAGTAAAGTAAGAATCCATGCATTATTGCTATTAATTTCCTTGTTGAAATATCTCACTGTCTTCTTTAATGAGAAATCACTGCATGGTGTTGGTGAAATTACCTCTTTCTTGTATTTTGTATTTTTAATGAATCTTACTGATTGTCAAAAATGGTATTATAATGGAAATTGTTTGTATCTTTTTATTGTGTGGGAGTTTATGAATCCTGTGAGAATTAATTTTTAAAGGGCTCTTTATTAAATATTCTCACTTACCATAGCAAATGGCAACAGTTTGATGGAAAGTTATTTTCTCAACTGAGGGAAAAAAATCTATATTTTACCATATAATGTACTTTAATGAGCCAAATAGTCAATTATTTTATATTTTTAATCCTTCACTCAGCAGAGTTCCTACTTAGCCTTGTAATTCAACTGTGCTGTGACCACTGCCCTACCAACTGTATGACACTAGTTGGCTAGACATCCAGGACAGGTATATGGAAGAATCACACTCCACAAAGCCATTTAGGATCATCAGTGGGGCATCCAGAAACCATGGAATTGAAGATGAGTTTTGGATACATTAAAATA